ATGTCCCCTAGGAAATCAATCCCAATAATAACAAAGGTAGATCCGCCATGACGAAAATCCACTTAAGTAACCTTATGAAACCAAAATCTATGTACATTTCTTTGGTACCAGTCTTATTAACAAAGGAGGGTAAAGGATCTTAGCGTTCTGTCGATCGCTGTAAGAAGAATTAAACTGATTTGGACTACTGTATCAAATTCGTGTGTGCATTAGCCTTAGGTGTAGGCAACAGGCTGTGTACGTTGAATGATTGCTTCCACAAGATCCTGCAGGATTTTGCAGCCATCTGGATGTCAATTGGGAATCTTTTCATCTATAAGTATCATTACATAGTTTCCGTCTGAGAATCGGCACCAGAGTTCTAGCATAAACTTTCTAAAAGTACTGATGGCCTCTGACCCCCCGAAATGTTAAGCTTCAATTAAAATTTCATTCTTTGTTGTATTGAATTAGTAGTGAATTTGATGATCCATTGCTTAAGCTTTTCGTAATATTACTGATCCTTATAAATGTGGTGTATTCACCCTATTCCGTTTAAGATAGCAGAGGGACTGGTAGTTGAATTCTCTCACAGTGATATAAGCATACATGACGTTCCCATTGAATTTCACATAACATTGCTTTCCTTAAGGGTATTCTTATCTAGGGTGGAGTACATTTTCAACCTTGCCTAAGTTTTATCAAAAACCCAGCGGGGTTCGAACCATGAGAGTGCAGCGTATACTCTCGACAAGTTAAGCACAACGCCACATTGCCACGATTGATCTTGGGTCACAGGGCAAATGTTAATTTCAAGTAAGGACAGATATTTTCCCGTCTCGCATGTGATGGTGAGATTGCAGATGAGCAAAGGAATATTTAATATATAAATTATTTATTTTTATTTATAAATAGGGTTTCAAGACTTCCACTATATCATATATATGAGGTGTATTCCCCCTATTTTATTTTGTGAAACTTCAACTACCAGTTCCCTCGTCACCTTATACCAAAAATGGTAAATAAAATTCATGTATATGATCTATTGGTAATCTCGAAAACTTACCTATTATCCTAATCTTTGTTGGGGAGACTTTCATTTCGCATGCAAGTGCATGATGAAAAGACTCGATTATCGA